TTAATCATCTTATGAACAATAGATTGATTCACTCTGGCTCCAATTTCCTAAAGGGCTTGCCTCATGCAGACCGTACTTCCCTCTTTAGCTCCTTCACATTTCATGGTCTGCTGCTCTGCAGTGCACAGTTGCAATGTTGTGTAGCGTGCTTAACGGCAACCAAAACTGAGTGGAGGCTTTTAAAAAGGGGTACTCCGGTGATTTCTTCATGGTCCCCGATTTGCTTGAAATTTTGCTCAACTCGCCAAACAATATCGCCAAAATAGTATCCCAAATATTAGGTCAAAATATTTTTTTTTTTTTCACGAAGTTATTGAATTTACAATTTTGGTCCTCACCGTGTTTTTCAAACAAAGTCTCTACTGGCAACAACGAAAAAGTGACGTCAGTGGAAGTGCAGGGGTTCACTCTTTGGACTGTAGAATTTGCTCCCAACTGATTCAAAGCAGTTTCATGGTGTCGAATGAATGCTTTGGAAGCTTGCTCCAGTCCCCGCGCTCCAGCACGGAACAAATGATTGGCATATTCTATTTTTTAGACTGCTCGCTTGACTGGCAAGCCTGCCCGCCACTGACGTCACGGCACTGAAAAGTGGGGTTTTTGCATAATTTTCATTTGCCGATTTCACAATAACTATAATGAATTTTGCGATACAAAATAGCATACCAGAAAGGGTAAAGGCCGGGGAGTCAGAAAATATGGATAGTTGAGGTAGCTCAAAAAAACGCCGGAGTACCCCTTTAAGCACCCTAAAGTGTATGTTAATTCATGAACGCTCTAGGCCCTTGCACCCAGAACTGTCAAAGTCAAGTTAGCTGTATTAATGAGGTCATTATGGCTACCAGCTGTGATGAATATGCCGGCATCTTTACATCATACAATATAATTTGCCAAGCAAATGATGTTTGGAATACTCATGTCGACCAAGAACGGCTAAATTGTTTACTTTCCTATGAGACCCACACTGGACGAGTCTTGTTTAATGACATGAGTTTTCGTTGCTATGATTATATTATTATGACACCTCAGATATGATTTAGGAAGTTCCAAAAGTAGCTCAGAACTGATACACAAGTTCACTGACTAGAAGCATAAATGTTATAATTGATGAATTAAAATGCTCTTGCAAAATCAATTATTGCACTTCATATCAATTCGTTGTCTCTGCGTTTTTCTGAGTAAAATTTCGCTACAGAAATATCATTTTATGTAAGTTTTCGAAATCACTCTCTGACAAACATAGATTGTTATGAGAATGTGAGGATCATGAGACTATATACGTTGGGTCATAAGCAATCCACTTTTGTTCTATGTGCGAACACGTCTTTATCTAGAAAAAGACGTGCGAGTGAAACCTGAACATTCTGAAGCGTGTACTAATCCACTGCCTCAAGTTTCTTCACACGAGGTGCCGTGCAAATAAATTGGCCTGTGTTTTTTGCTATGCGTAGATGTGTGTAATAACATTCCAATACCAATACCTCTATAACAATATAATTTCGCCTCCCTAACTGTTTCCACACTTATTTTAGAAGGTTTGTCCTTGCCAACAATAAAGTAACCCAGTAGGTATTTCAATTTTTGGAAACACCCTTTCTTCAGCTAGGTAGTCACAATCTTTGAAGTGTTCAAATATTTATTATACTGAAATGCTGCAGTACTGCGACTGGAAGTACCTTCAAGTTCAACCGAATCAATGTTTCATACATTTATTGGTATTTCATTTAACCTACATTTCAAACTTATCAGTTTTTACAATAATATATTTGATGGCAAGGATTTAATTTTTCGACAAAAGGATGCTGGAAACTTAATTAGGAAGTTAGGAAGGCCGGACACGAGCGAGAAAAAGGAAGTTAGGACTCAAACGGTTGGAAAATAGCTCCGTGCAGTGAATTTATGTAGAATAAACCCCTAGACCCTAACAATATACCATTGCGAAAAGTGGTCTGGAATTATATCTGGATTCCGTACAAAACCAGGCTGAACGCTTAATCCTTCCTAATTAGGATGCCATTAGTAGTACTGCATGAAGAGTTGAAATAAGCCTTCGTTTTAGAAACAGAGAAGAAAATTAGCATGTGTTATATGCCTGCAAACATAAATCTATTACAGTTTTCCTGCAAAAAAAAAAAAAGAAGCACACTGCTGGTTTTTTAAATTTATCTTCACACACACAGTCCTCTCAAAACTCAACTAGTCGGCCCAAGCACATCATTCTGAAATAACAAAAGTACATGCTTTAGATCTGCTGTATCACCACTGTACATATTGGTATTTATCATCATGTTCACACTTGTTAAAAAAAAAAAAATTAAAATGCACTGCTCATTTAAAACTGCCTTACTTTGATAGCGAGTTCGTTTCACGGCACGTTTCGCTTTTTGGTTCGCTTGTATGCCCGCTCCAACGTTTTCCATTTGTTTCAAACTTGCAGGTGCGTGACGGGCTTGTTTTCAAATGCCTCATTGAGGCGTCCGGCTAACTTGCGCCATATCTGCTTTTTATTTTTCGCTCCGCGATCTTTCGAATTTTTGTACAACTCTTTATCTGATATTTCGACTGTTTTCCTCCCAAACGCTTTCTCGGCTTTCGTCGTCCACTTAGGTCACGTCCGTGGAGAGTTCTGACGGCGCCACTCAGACCCGGACCCCGTCTAGAAAACGCACGAGACAGTTTACTTGTTGCTCGAGTTGGTAACAGCACCTGTCACTTAACTTCCGTGACAGAAAGCGGCAAGCCTCCGTCAAGTTCAGGATCGCCATCCTCCCCGTAATCGCGGACAGAACGCTTTCTTGGTGGCCGATGATAGCGCGAATCGTTTGGGGGTCCATTTTGTCGTCTGCAACGTCGTCTGCTATCATACACCCGCCAAAACGAGCGAGTGCAGAAAGTGTACAGAAAAGGCGCCATACTTTTTTAAATCGCTAGAAAACATCGGTAAACCGCAGAGGCGAACAGCGCGGTCGCGCGATGCAGACACTGGGTGCAGACCCCAGGGCTGCACCCTCAAATTGAATGCGCTCGGGGCTACACTTCTGCACCGGTGCAGGATGTATAGGTAAATCGAACGCGTTCAGTGCCTTCTTCGCGCACAGCGTGCATACATATTGTGTTTTTTTTTAGCTTCATTCAGCCATTTAAATGGCGTTTCCTCCAAAAATACTCACCTTCCCCAGTAGCTGCATGCATTTCGCCAACCCACCGTCGTCTGTACCTTGGTCGTTCCCGTCATGATCGAACTTCATAGTAGTCTCTTCCTCAACATCGACGGGACGCTTTTGGCGAGGCGTCCCGTCGACGCCTGGACTCGATGATGTTAGAATTAAAATTAAGCTAGTTGGTTAAACTTGATGTGAAAAAGCGCAAATGGCTAGGAAGAGGAGAAGGGGACAGGACAAAGCGCCTAGACTCGATTTCGTACCGCTCCCGTAACGCCGACACTACGTGCGTCTATTGTACGCTGTTTTAGTTTCGGTTTAAAGCCTACTCTGCTACAATACGGCTGATCCACTGATTCTACACTTGGCACCGTGATCGCCGCCTCCCCGGGCTCACGAACGGCCTTAGTTTCTTTTTTTAAATATAATAATTTTCATAAAAACAGACAATAGATTACTGAAATGTCAAGAACTCGCGCAGCGGTTCACGCCAATTCGCAGCAAACGCTCGTTCGGTGACGCAGGGACCAGAGGGCGAGAGTTACCGTCCAATTCAATGGCTTCAGCTTCAGCCGTGTTCTTTGATCCACCGCTCGTTTAGCATTCCCTTAGCAACAACAGTGTTGCCAGGTCTACTGATTTATCAGTAGATCTACTGATTTCGTTTCGGGTCTACTGATTCACTGAAAAAAAAGAAAATCTACTGGCTTTTTTTTTTGTTTTTTGTAAACATATCAAAATTTATTGTTTGGCCCCTTCAGTTCCCAGGGTCGCCCATCAAAGGAAACTCATATTCTCCCAGCATTAAAAACGAAGCACTGGCTAAATGGCCCAGAAGCCCGTCCTATTCGAGTGACTTAGCCGTATATTCATCGATCTATTCACCCAGAGCAGATTCGAGGGCAATCCGACGGTGACTGGAGTCAGAGCCTTATATGGGATAGTTTGGGTAGTCTACGATCTCGCCGCCGTAACGTCGCTCTCCCGAGTGAGCCAATCAGCCTGTGTCGCAGAGCGAGAGGCGTGTGCGCATGAACTCTCGGCTGCTCCCACCCAGCTGAGCGGAGAGGGCCGCCATTCTCATTCATTCGCCCGGCGGAATGCATGGGATCGACATCCAAATTTCGGTTCTTTACTTTTATCAGGCAGGCTCTGGAAAGAAAATTATATAATATGTTATTCCTCGGTGGCTTAAAAAGCTAACGAATTAAGTTTCTCCACGTTTGAACGCAAACTTTGAGACTGGCGAAAAAGAAAAAAGCCCGTCACAGAGGACGCGTAGCCTCAACAGTGCTCCGCGCCGACAGCGTTGCGTCAAAAACCTTCCACAGCCCAGTAAGGAAAAATGGCAGCTTGCAGAAAACTTACATTGGACATGTACGCGCGCACCATAGGCGCGCACTTGCCGGAACGTCTTGTTTCGGTTTCGTTTCAATAACGGCGACAGGTGGATGTCGCACTGTCGCCCTCATCTGTTGATCCCAAAAGTGGCTCAGTCTCGATTTCAAAGAATAATCCTCGAAATCGCAACACAATGCTGATAAAAAAAAAAGAAATAATAAAAAAAACATTCACGGTGCTACTTTACTTTGTCCTCCATAAAAAAAAAAAAAAAAAAAAAAAAATTATTTATGAAATGGTTTTTTTTTTCATTTTTATTGGTGTTTATTACCATGTTATTTGTTACTCTATACTATTTCTTCGAAGTGTGGTTTAATGGAAATAGCAAAACATGGCAAAACACAGATTTCGCAGAATCTACTGATTTTTGTGCAAATCTACTGACTTTTTGGGGATCAATCTGCTGACTTTTTTTTTCTCCGTCTGGCAACACTGAGCAACAACAACAACGGACACGTGTGGACGTGAAGTTTGTTTTACACAGTTTTAACCGGTTTTACGTTCGATGACCACTACTCAACAAACAGGTACTGTTCCCAAGACTCAATCCGTTAGGAGCGAGGCACTAACTTTGAAATAGACTTCGCAAGGCCCCGCTAACGGCCGTGGCTTCATGTGAGACTGCTTCAACGTCGACTTTTCGCGCTTTTGCGCACGAGTAGAGTTAACTGAAGCCGTGAAAACGCGCGCTCGCTTGATCGTTTTAAGGTTTTAAGCAAGAAACTTACCGATTAAAATTGGGCTGTGTCTGCAGTGCCGTCCGACGGCACTGCACTCGGGCTTACAAGTGCCGTCTGAAATAAAGTCGGACGGCGCGTGTATCACTGGGAGGCTCTTTAGCCGCCGCCGCCCGCCCTGCGGTTAAAGTCGGGTTGGTGTTATGGGCATACCTACTGCATGGGCGCCAGCCTTTCCGTAACACCTGCACACCCTGCACGTCCCTACCCACCCAAAGTGCAATAAAATATCAAATATCAAAGTTAACCGGCTTCAAGCAAATGGGCCCAGTGTGTCGCGTGAATACATCCATCACTGCATTGACAATGCCATCGTTCTAAGCCCCCTCAGGCGTGTTGGTTACCACCAGGCAATTGTCAACAAATCGAAATACCTTACTGGGCTCGCACCCAAATTCTCGCCAATGGTTTGGTTAATCTTTGCCAAAAAAATGTTGCCAAGCGCTCCAGCCAGGCATGCGTCTATACAGATTCCTTCTTTTTGTAACTTATACAGGCCTTCAAACAGAAGGAAAGTTGACTGAAAGTAAAACCTGAGCAGTTCCAAGAAACAAGTTCTGGAACTTGACCACACCGTTGTCGTTGATACACCCATGCACGGACACGAAGAGGCCCTTGTAGGGAACATAGTAAAAAAAAATCAACTACATCTATAGAGAACGCCGGCGCATTTGCATGGGTACCAGAATTCAAGTACTCAACCACTGCCTCTGAGTTTCACACCGAAAATGGGTCACTAAGTTGCAAGGTAGTTAATTGCTTGTTAATTGTATTGGCTGACCAACCGCTGCCATGCCCCTCTTTCGGTGACAATTGTCCTGAAAAGTGAACCCTCCTTATGGGTTTTAGCCGTAAAAAAGGCTTCCATTTATCCATCATTGCTTTCCTTTATGTCCTTTTCCAAGTCGCGCAACTCAAGGCCATTGCACAACCTCAAAGCGGCACTCTTTTTCTTCGGGTCGAGAAACGTCGGTTTGTGGAGTTCTTAAAGGGGCCATGAAACGAATTTTGGGCTGGGATAAATGATTTTAAATTGGGACTTTACTGATCGCATATCGTTTGGTTGGCCAAAAGGAAAAGGGTAGAAAGTCAAAAGCAAGCTTCTCGGTACGAACATTTGAAAACATAGCGGACTATTTTGTAGCTTCTTTCCTTCGAAAGCTCTCCGCCTTTTCACTATGATACATCCGCGGTTCCCAAAGCACGTCACCGCTACTTGGGCAGATAATGAGTGCTTGATAATGCATCATTTATTTCTGCGGTGAAGACTGTAATTTGTTTCGGGAGATACGCTGTTTGTTAATATGATTGCTAGCTGCAATGATCGGGTTTTGCGTGGTTTTCATTTCAGGTTTGTAAATGTTGAACACTTGTTAATGAAGCTTGGAGCATACATTTGATATTTACGAATGCACTGTAACATCATCTCTCTTACTGTCATCAGTCCTTGTGCAGTGATGCGGATGCAGCATCGTCCAAAGTATATATCGCTCCATTGCAAACTATAAATGATTCCTCATTATCTAAGGGGAGATATGGGTCAAAAAATGGCAACCTTTCACAAAAAAATTGATTTTTGGCTTCATGGCGTTTAATGATCTTTATAAGGACTGGCTATGATCCCGAAATTCTTTAATTAAACATTTTGAAAAACTGACAACCCAGTACTGCATAAATTTGACCAATTTTGTGCGCGGTTCTTCAAATGGTCGTCCTCTCAGCCAAAGTGTCTCCGCTCCATTGCATTCTTCCGTAGCTTCAATTTCTCACTAAAAAATATTAACAAAAATTATTTTTCCCACTGTCGAAGAGTATTGCTACACATCTGCAGTAACATTCAAACACACTTTTCCTACTATGTAATACTGGGGCATGTTCACAAAAAGTGTGCAACAATTTTTTTTTTTAATATTGTCCTATACCATCAAATTTGACATGCATATGCTTTAGATTAAATGAATTGCAACTATCTAGGTTTGATTGGAATATATATTTTTTGTTTTAAAAATGTTACGAAGCGATTGTTAGGCCTTCGAAAATTGTGTTTTCGCGGTTTTTGTATATTTTAAAATATGATAGGGGGGGGTCTAGCACACAGTATTGTTTTTGTTAATTATACTCGGTGTTCTAAAAAGAGTAAATTTTTTTTTATTTGACTAGGCTCTCAAGTCTGTTGCCATGCCCCACATGTGTGCAAGAACAAGTTTTTTTCTGCATGTTCCGAGCATCCAAAACATAAGCAACAAGCCATATCAAAACTCATACAAGATTTATATAAAGGAGATCAAGCATTATAAGCTGTGAAAATTTAATTCAATTATATTAAATAATAAAATATAGCTTTCCCCAGTGCAACACTAAACTTTTTGAGGAAAGAGGAACATGACTGTTTTCATGAATAGATGGATTTGAAGGTTCCAAGATTCAACGAATTAAAAAAAAAAATTTAGCATTAATACAGGCACACCTAATGGGTTCCAGCCTTATAGTTATCTTCGATTTTGCATCGTTCAAGTCCTAACTCATTTAGCTGCTAGTATTTTTGTCGGACTGACAATGCAAAAATGAAGAGGTTGTTTTGAGACACCTTCAAACTCTAAAGGCTGAATCACATGTAAGCGATTTAGCGAGCGACAAGACGGGGGACAGCGTTTGGGATTTCTCACTGTTTCGCGTCGCATCGCTCAGTTCTTTAATTTCTAGAAAATTTCGCTCATCACCTTGGTCTCTTGCTCCCGTCGTATTCATGCGGTCTGGCTCGTTGCACTACTGACCGAGTGACAGCGGTGCGGGTTGCCATCGCTTGTCTAATCTCGCCAAATTGCTTACATGCGGTTTATACTTCAAAGGGCCCTGCAACAACTTTTTGACTGGTTTTTAATTTGCACTAAACCTGAGCGCACTGAACGTAGTAACTTAGTGAAACTTTTTTTTTCTCGAATTTTGCTTTATTTGAAAAGTTATAGGCAAATTAAAATTACAAGAACACGCAAAAAATAACTTTCTTTGTGACTTCTCTTGTCGTGGCTTGGGTGGCCGTGGACTAGAGGAGGGGTAGTGAGCTCAGTGAGCGCTCATGGCTGCTGCACTCCATGTCGACGGCTCGAGGGGGCTCCACTAAACCATGTGCTGGATAGGCTAGAGGAAGCGGGCGGCCAGGGCGGCTCGCATTGCATTTGCCTCGCGACTAAACACTAATTCGGCATGACACTTCATTGGCCTCAAACGACAGCAAACGTGGGGTAAAGATCAGTTCGGAACGGGAGCCATTTCGTGCTGCCAAACGGCCAAACCGCAACCAAACCTGCTCGCCAAAGGCCTTCAGAACGCTCGGAACCGCTCGGATCCTTCAGCCCAAACTACCACACCGTTGCTGAGTACATCGGGACCTTTCTATGGTCGCCGCTCGTCGGTGCCTGATCCCACTACTCCTTTCTAATATGCGCCGCCTTTCCACCGCTTGGTGGCGGGTATGGCGACGGGTCATTTCTTGTGTCCGTACTTTATAAACTGCATTTTGTTGCTTACCTGATCTAAAATACTGAACAAGAACTACTTTCATAAATAATTGAAACGGTTTGCACCGCCTATATTTTGTATTTCGACAAAAGAAAAAAAAAATCTTTTAGCGGCTCTGACCAGTCGTAAGGCAGGAGCTGGCCAGGACTGACGTCGCGATGTCATAACATGCCGCGCACCTTTGATACCACGGGGCAGCCCCGTAGGTGAAGGAGGCTTCCGTGTCGTCCGGTTCAAATATGGCGCACTGATATTTAGTTACTCTCTCCGTGCCCGCTAGGTTGCCCGAACCACGAGGTGTGAAAACCGCAAAAAATTTAGATGCTTAAATAGGATTGCGGGCCCCTTTAAGTCTGGTGGCACAAGCTACCACCCATTACTAGGCATAGAGGCATTTCATTTCCTCGTACATTCGTCATTGTTATCTCAAAATGGCCAAATCCTTGGTGTCTCTTGTCTTTTATCCTTGTCGGTGTCTGACTAGCTTGGTGTGCTTGGAGGGTGTGCTCACTTTGTTATTAATTACTGCCATTGCTCATTGCATTTGGTTCCTAGCATCTCAAGTGGTCCCGTGCATCCCTTTTGACCTTACAGACTCCCTATGAACCTGACCTTAGGCAGCAATTCAAATGGAACCAATTCAGTCCTCAAGCCGTGGTGAGTTTTCTTAGTCTTTTTTTAAGCTCTTAATAAACAGGACAGTGACCGTGTCTAGACTAAACAGAGTCATGCTCTAGAGCAGTGCTTCTTGTACAGCTGTCCACACAGTCCTACGGGTCCACACCAATTTTGAGATCCACCACCAGGGGAGCTAAGAGCCCAGATGAAAATGTGCGGGGTGATTAGATTTTTCTGGGAGGCAAGCAGCGATATTGAATTTGAGGAGAGGGAATTGACTTTGGGCAGGCTATATGTTGGGCTCCTATTGGCGGTGTGCATGAACTACAGAGGTCGGTTCTCGACCTATCATCATCACCACTGTGACGTCATGGGTAGGACAGACTGGGACAGACCGCATACATCTTGGATCCTTTGGCTCGTCAGCTCGCTTCATGCGCCGTTTGGTTAATGCGCGGCAAAGCCTGTTTTTTTTGTTGTGGTTTATTGGTATTGTGATATTTGTAGCAGGACATCTTACCAAAGCTTGAAACCGTGGCATGTGTAGTCGTGCTAACAAACAGTTTTCGCGCTAAGGTGTTGAAGCGCTAGAATGGTGGTATGCTGTTCTCTACATCAGCAGGGGTGGAAGTGCTGTACCACTTGCACCATTTTGCGCCAATATACTGTCGCCGCGCCATCCTGCTCCCAAGCGCACATGTTGCGCCAAAACTAGCCAAAAGAGTATTTTTATTTTTTTATTATTGTTACATATTGATGTGGTCGTGTCAACGTCGAAGCAGGTTATTCTCGTTTGTTTAAAACAGGTGCCAAGTGCCTATTTTCATCTAGTGGGAACGACCATGATTTATTCTGGACCAGGTTAATAAACAGTCCGTCTAGCGTAAGCAGCCCGAGGGCCAACACTGCGCGAGTTGGTTGTTCAAGTCGTCCGTTTCGAACGCGAAGAAAAGTAAACGCTTTTATTGTTGTTCCAATATATACCGTATTTCGACGAGTATCAACACACAATAAAAGTCGTGTGCTTTTTTCCGTTTCCCGTACCAGTGCCTTCGAAGCACTTGTCTGGGCACGTTGGTTTGTGCCGTCAGTGCCACAGCTCGGCCAACAACGGCATGTGGATTTTTTATTCTCCGAAAATGGTCCATGCATAGGTGGCTTTGTCAAAAGTACTAAAACAACAATTTGTCATTTACTTTTTTTTCTTTCACAGTACGAAAACATGCACGCATCAAATTGCGTATACCGTGAATTCTCCTATGAACACCCGCCCACGAGAAACCACCCATCCCGCCTTTTGGGCTGAATATCCGTAACATAAAATTTCCAAAACATAGACGAACACACGAACTGCGCGATCTGCGGTATTGGTGCGTGTGACAAGCATGTTCACCACGGGTTTCCACGTGCTTATTGCACCGTGATATGCGAATCTGCAGGGTCTGCAGTCTGCAACATGCAAATTTCTAACTGATTCTCGCATTGTTTTTCTTGTTTCTTTTTGTGATTTGTGCGCGTTATGTCGATTACTATGACACCCGAGTTTGTAGTGAATTCTTGCATGTATTAATCGCATGGTGAAGAGCGAATGCGCTGCGTCCGCTTTCTGCTGTCATACCCACAACAGGGGAGTTCATGGCGAATTCTCGCGCGCTTATTGCACCGTGGAACGCAAATTTGCCATGTCTGCCGTCTGTGGTATCATTAATGAAAAGTCGGGAGTGTGCAGGCAGGCTCGTAATAGTTGATTATGATGCTTAAAACCTGGGACTGTTGCACGGGAAAAATAGGAATATTTGAAGTCACAGTTTCTTTTTTTTGTAACTTGTAGAGCCCCCCCTTTCCTTTTTATCACAAGTTTTTTTTTATATAAAATTTTGCTGTTGCATCCTGTAACATGGCTTTACCCATACTTTTCACTATTTGTCTTCATTTTGATTGGGCCTTCTTTCAGGACTTTACGGTATTTAAAGGTACATGAGAGCCTGCTGGCACCTGTTCACTTATCGTCTAGTCTGGGGAAAGTGACAAAATACTGTACAAAATGAAACATTTGGCATATATATATATTTTTTGTTAGTGAAATAAAGCTCAATACTTACTGACTACAGTCTTTATTATAGTGATGGGCCAAACTTTTGCCAAATCGAAAATTTGGCACCGAATCTTGCGATTCGGCAAAAATACATTGTTACCAGACTTAACGTTGATATTTAGTTTTTCTGGCGAAAAAAGGTTTTATTGAGTTTTTTCTTAAGTTATATGCTAAGAAAACGGTTATTACTAAATAAGGTGATATTCTACAAGATAATTGTAGCGGTGTCGTTTTGTGTTTTCTGACAGTTTTAGTGACTCCTTGCAGAAGTGGCGTTACAACGAGATTGACGAGGTTGGGTAGAAGTTGGCTAGCGCAGTCACAAATCACGCTAGGAGAATTTCGGTTTTGAGGCATTATCAGCACAAGGCTGCATGTGTGTCTACGTTGTTAAAATTAAGGCAATAACTCTGCGTTCTTGCTTTCTCTGGGAGTCACTGTTTTGTGCACAAAAACAAATGCTACAGTTGCTGAGCCTTCCCCAGAAGAGATGATAATATTATTGTAAATGTGCATATTTTTCGATTTGAGAGTAACTTGACGCCAGCTTTGCATGAAAGTGTGCTTCCCATATTCGCAACGTCTCGTTCTTAAGCTTTGATCCCAGTTTCTGGTGTTAGGACACACACGGACGTTTAGGAAGATAGGGAGAGTTAGGAATGGTCTGATGTGCAACGTCGAGCATTGTAGTTCTGCGTTTAGTTTTATGCAGATACAGGAAGATCGCGAAATAACGCTAATTGAAAAAGCAATAATATTTTGTTTTTGGCACACACTACTTCTGAGCCAAAAACAGAATTGTTATAATTGCGAGGAGTGCTTTAAAGTAATTGTCGGCCAATGTTTCAACTACCTCGTTGCATCACTGGAAATGTCAAATGAAAATCACGTTATCCAGAATGTACCGCATCATTTGTCACTTGCGCAGTGGACTGCACAAATTGCTGGTCAATCTTCTATACTTGAGGCAGAAAATATTGGAGAGAACCACACTCGCTCACAAACTCACAGTTACAGTGTTGCCTACTCCACACCTTGCCGTAACCGCTGGTTGTACTACACCGCACCACCGTGCACTGCACGACGGTAACTGCACGACTGCATGGCGTCGATTTGCAGTCCACGGCCTCGTCGCGTTCTCGCACATGTGCAGACATTTGCTGAATTTTCACCGAACTTTCCTTCAAAAGTTCTTGTTTTGCCGAAGTTTGCCGAATCTGAAGATTGGCCGATTCAGTCCAGCACTACTTTATTATTAGGAAATACAAATGTTTCAAGTACCTGTTTAGCAAACATAAATGTATTCCAATACTCAAGGTAACAGAGTACAAATCTACTCCATCTGATAAAAGTATGAATACATAATATTGAAAATTTAATGATATCGTCCTTGGTCATACGTATGGGCTGTCGGCAACTCTGCATCAAGAAACACTTGTTTTCCTCCGCCGTTTTCAATTATATGCTCCGGCTTGGAGTCCAGCTACGTCGTGCGTTACAATAATATACCACTGGCTTAACCTTCCGTTCACGCCACGCCCTTTATCAGTCGGGCTAAAGACTTTTGTTATATCACTCTGTCCTAGCGGTTCTTAAAATGACAAATCTTTTGTCAGCCAAGTACTTGTATTAAAGCACTAATCTGAAAAGGTAGCACGATGAGCATCTAACCAGCCAAGTATAACAAACACCCTAATAAGTATTGGACGCTCCGTAAAGTTGGGTATTCATTGGCAATATCAGCCATATCAGGGATGAAAACAAGTTCACGTGTTGTTTCTAGAGTGCTTCATGACGCCAGGGCATTAATATGACCAAGTACGGACACTTTGGCATGCCTGGCTCGTGTACCCCAGTGGTAATTGATGCGACCATGACCTGTTTACACATTTATTTTTTTGTTTTAAAACAAGATAATGCAACATTTTCTTACAGATTTGTAATTACTGGTCATGAAGGGCCCATCGGGTAAAATTGAAAGAAAATCGAGAATTATTCTTTTCTTTAATTGCCGCATCAAAAACGCAAAATTTTGACATTTTAATTTTGACAAAATTTCTGGGCGCAGTGCAGAAAATACTTTCAACAGTGGAACGCTAATTAATTGGCTAAAAATTGACGAAGCAATAAACACTCGACACAAAAAATTTCAGCTTTGGCATATAAAATTTAAGCAACTTAAAAATTCGCCGAAAAATGACTCATTATGTAAGATTTGGTCAAGAAGCCAAGTTTGGCATTTTATTTCGCTTTAAATATATGCTCATATAAGTTAACTTGAACAAATTCTAGCAGTGAAGTAGGCGTGCATTAAACATAAAAAAGTTGACGGTGTAGAAAGCAGCATTATTTATTCCTTGAGTTGAGAAAATCATTGTTTCAACCTTTTTTAGAATGTAATTTTTCTCATGAATACAAGGAAGTATCTTGAAGAAGTAAGGTCTGTCCCGTTGTGTGGACTGGTTTAATTGAAGACAAAAAATAGGCATGACACCAATATCACCGTCCTTATCTGAACACACCCTAAAATGTAAAGAATCTGTGTGCGTCAAGGTCATGAACATGAATGCCAGAAATGGTTTGAGTTAAATTAATGTATTTGAAAGCATAATCATGGAACATGAACCTGATATCATCGTAATTACAGAAACGTGGCTGCATAAAGATTTCCCCAACTCTGAAGTAACTCCCCTGAACCACACAATCGTAGGAAAGGATAGAGAAGGAAAAGGCGGTGGAGTTGCTATCGTGTGATTCAAAATAACATCCAGTTTTCTGCTCTTGATGAGGTATGTGACGTTGAAGCATTGTGGATTAAAGCTGAGCTCAATAATAGCTCTGTGTGTATTGGTGGAATGTATAGGCTTCTGAATTTGCCAGCTGAGGTGATGATAAAGCTTCAAAGTTACATCCATCTCACGAGGACAACATATTAGTTGTGGGG